TAATCTAACAGCTCATTCCACCTCCACACCTCGCAGTTAAAGCAGGTACAAAGAACTAAAAGAAATCACTGCTTTTATCAGATGAATGCAGTACAATAAAAAGCTTATAGTCATCGTTTTTTTGCTTTCAGAGTTCTAAGCACAAACCAGCTGTTTGAAGCATTTTCCAATCAGATTTCAGGCTGCACTGATTCTCCTAAATGTCTTGATTTATACTTCCAGACTGAAGCATTCTCCATCATCTCTCTCTTCTTCTTCATCTCCTTTGTGTCTCCCTCCCCTCTGTTTTCTCCCACTTGATCGTCTTTCATCTTCTTTCCACCTCTGATATATTATTTCCTGACCGATTTGTTTCATGTCCTCAGTGTTGAGTTTTCCATCAGGGACAAGAGAAGGAGGCCAAAAAACACAAAAAACAACAACTAGCTTTTGATTTCTGTGATTCTGTGTGATGGATGCTTGAGGGACTTATCTGAAGAACAAAATTAATCCAGGGACTTGTATCACCGTCACCTCGACAAATAACGTTTGATCGGCTGGATATGAAGCAGACAGCAATTTAAAGTTACTAATGATATTTCCTTTCTCTTTGAATCCAGCTCTGTTTTTGAGTGTTTCTTTTTCTTTGACACCTTCAGTCCGTCAGCTGCCTAACCGCTCCACAGTAATGATGAAAAATACGTCTGTGCCTAATCACCTGCTTTTTAAAAACATACAAAGCCACATATCCACAGCAGACAGCCTCTACTCACCTACAAAACGTAATTTTGTAATGAGGAGCTTGATAGCACATCGACATTTAGCCCGAATGTTATCACCATGGAGTTTAATAACGGCACAGCAGATGCCATATCATGCTTGTCTGTGAGCCTCGAGTCTAAAAGCACTCTTCAGCTCTCAATCAAACATTGTGAGCGTGTCTGAGTTTGCATTTGTCACGGAGGGACAGGCCTGCTACGTAAGAGTCTTGGGCCCAAAGTGTCAGGGCGGCTCTGGGTAAAATCCATCTTTAATGTTTCTCATTAGAAGGTTAATCAAGCAATAAGACATGCCAGAAATGACCAAAAGTTAAAGACTCTGACAAACTCAACCTAAACTACATAAAAATTATATGAAGAGATTAAATGGCAAAGAGATCAAAATCAACCACAATAAGACATGACGAGAGTCCAAAACTCCTTTTAAGAGAACAATATCATATTTTATATAGATAGTCTTCATTCTTTTTAAACGTACTTTAAGATGTTTGTAGAGAAGTAAAAGTGAGATAATGGAAGCAAGATTTACTTACTTACTTTACTTTCATTAACCAAACTTTTATGGGAGTAGGCAATGGATAATGGGTATTAATTTGTTAATACCTGGACATGAGTAACTTTATTTGATTATATAGAATAGAATAGAATAGAATTCAACTTTATTGTCATTGCACATGCACAGGTACAGGGCAACGAAATGCAGTTTGCATCCATCCAGAAGTGCTTTAGTGATATAGGTATATTACAATATATATTAGCAATAATATAGATATGTAAATATATTACAGAAATGGGTCTATTATGGTATGTTATAATGTACACGGTATGAAGTATGTTGTGAATATTCTATAACTATAGGTATGTACAGGCTATGAACAGGATATAAATATGAAAAACTATACAGAATATGAAATAAATAACTTTACAGAATCTGGGATATACAGTTATACAGAAATGGGAACTGTGCAAGTTGTAAACAGTTGTAGGGTTAAAAATTATCATATGTACAGAATGATTATTACAGAGCTATACAGTAGTGCAGTTAAGATAAGTGAGGGTGTAGATAATTTCTACAGAGGCTATATAAAGTGCTAGTGGTTGTGAGTGGTGGTTCAGTCCATGTTATTATTGTGTGTTTGAGGGTACAGTTGTCCATTGTGTGTGTGTGCATGTTCTGTCTATGAGTTTAACGTGGGTCAGATGTCAGGAGGCAGAGTTCAGGAGTCTGACAGCTGTGGGGAAGAAGCTGTTCCGGTACCTGGTGGTCTTAGTCCGGAGGCTCCTGTAGCGCCTCCCAGAGGGCAGGAGGGTGAAGAGTCCATGTGATGGGTGACTGGGGTCTTTGATGATTTTCCCAGCCTTTTTCAGAAACCGCTTCCTGTAGATGTCTTTTATGGCAGGAAGTGGTGCTCCGGCGATGCGCCGGGCAGTTTTCACGACCCTCTGCAACGCCTTCCGGTCCGAGGCAGAGCAGTTCCCGTACCAGACTGTTATACAGTTGGTCAGGATGCTCTCTCACTATGGCAATGATAGAAGTTCTCCAGGATGTCTGAGGACAGGTGGTTCTTCCTCAGAGTCCTCAAGAAGAAGAGGCGCTGGTGAGCCTTCTTGACCAGCTTGGAGCAGTTGGTCGTCCAGGTGAGATCCTCGGAGATGTGGACTCCCAGGAACTTGAAGCTGCTCACACGCTCCACAGCCGTCCCCTTAATGTGGATGGGTGGATGTGGTCAGCATTCCTGTAGTCCACGATGAGCTCCTTGGTCTTCTCGGTGTTAAGCAGCAGGTTGTTTCTGTCACACCACTCAGCCAGACGATCCACCTCCTCCCTGTAGGCGGCCTCATCGTTGTCACTGATGATAATACTACACCACAGTATATTTCCAAATAACTGGTCAGCTTTTGTTTTTAGTGTTTTAGTGTTGTTTTAGTGACGTTGCAAGAATTTCAACATTACATTGTAACAAGTTCAAAAGTTCAAAACAAGGAATCAAAAGCATCATAGTAAAGTCCAGGTGGAAAGAGACAAAAAGGCTGCAAAAAGGCACAACGTCCTGTTGTATTATCATCATAATCACGCTCAGGTTATCACAACCTCTAAAGCTGCCTATTAGACTGCACACTCTTCAAAGATCAAAGCTGTTCAGTCAAAAAACAAACAAACTTTAGTATCTGAAGCAGCTGTAAAAACAGATTTTTTTTTTCATTTCAGATTTTACACAAATAAAACATAAACACTCATGAAATATGTACAGCTCTTTGGACTGTCACCAAATCTTTTACAGTCCTTTGTGCTTTCTAGAGGACCAACAGAGCCAGCAACAGCTCAAAGTTACTACAACTGCTTTAATACAATTCCCAGATGATGTATCTTACTGATTTTGCTGTTGTCATTGTTGTGTTTTGTAATGCAGAGCACCTTCTGAAACTGTACTACAGCATTTGCAGCTTTAAATACAATACCATCGATACTTTTAAGTAGAAGGATGAGAGTCCACCCACCCACGCTCCCTGAAGCAGGCAGCTGAGATGGGAGTAAATATCTCTTTTATGAGGGCTGCAAAGCTTCACAGTGAAGCACCGAAACCAGTTTTCTGTCAAACCAGCCAAACTTAATGAGAATTATCCATCTTTGACCCTCCTAATGTGCAGCAACAATTTCAGTCTACCTTCGCTGCGCCGTCCATCTCCAACCATCTCGCCTCCTCCTCTCCCCGCTCTATCTCTGTCTCTTTCTGTCACTTTCCTTCTATTTGTTATGAGCCGGTAATGAGAACATGGTGTGTGGGAGATTGCTCAGTTTATCTCCTTCTACCCAGTTCCTGCTAGTATCATCCAAAACTTTTTTAGACATTTCTTATTACATTTATCACAACGTGTGACTGCCAAAGCCCCTGCAGACAATTAAAAAGAACAAATAACCCAAAACAATAAAGGAAGTTCACCGTTAAACGTTTTAAAGCCGATGTATATCGGGTAATAAAATGGGCAAGTATGCAAGGTGAACTGCTACTGTCAGCCACAGAGGGAGAAGGAACACTGTCAAACCTCAGATTCAGCCCACAGGAGTAAGGTGGAGGCAAACCTGCACTTTCCTCCCACACTGTGACAGACAGAAAAATGGAAAAAATTGTTTAGCTGCAAACTTAATGGAAAATTTGACGCCTTTATTTGGGAACAGATACGGTCCAACTGTTGTGTCCGTGCGGTGAAATAGAGCAGACTGGTGAGCTCCACTCAAAGAAATATTTAAGCTCAAAGATCTGACTTAAAGTAATTTGATTACATTTAAATGTAATCCATGTAATTTGTTACATAATTGCAACGTGAAATGTTAAAGTTAATGGAATCTGGTCAATAAGTGTGTTTGATTGGTATACATTCAGTCTATATTTTACTTAACAAACAATTATTTGACTACATAAACCTTTGATTTAATATATGTGAAATATATGTACACACTGTTTGTGTGTATACAGTACTTCTGCTAAATCAGTGGTTTCAAACTGTGGGCAGGGTCCTGGAGTGAGACAAGGAGCCACACAGGTGTAGTTCTATGACGTGAAGTTGGATGTCATTTCTTAAGGAAAAAAAAGCTGAGCTTTAACCTCCTAGGACCTGGCGTCCACATATGTGGACATCACATTTTTGGATGTCTGGATGAAAATACTTAATTTTTCTCTACAAGGGCCTGTATCCACTTACCAGGACATTATACTGCCACTGTTCTATCAAGATTTAAAACCAATGTCCTCATATGTGGATCTCATTTGTCTCAGAAATAAAAATTAGGTAATCAAACAAAAAATCTGGTAATTCTTTGTTTTTACATTCATCAGGTCCCAATCAACCCAAATAGCAAAGAAAAATTAAAATGCATGCCATGAAAGAGTTCGGGTCTTAGGAGGTTAAGTAACTTGGATCTTGTTTTATTGTTAATGAGTGATAGAAACCGTGGGCTGTGGGACGTGAACTTTTTTCAGCGTCTCTATGCCAAAAAAGTTTTGCTTGTTTACACAGATAAAGCCTGCAAATCAGTGTGCTCCGATAATAGTTTTGATTTATGACTATAAAACTTAAACTCATGTGAAATCCATCCACTGCTGCACAAAGCCAGGTTTCCTCTCACCAGCCGACCCTAATCTCCTCTGGTACAGACACAAACACTAATATCTACATGAATCATAGAGGTTGTTATCTAATGTAATATTCTCCTCATGTCTCTGCTGTTGTCTTTCTCTGTAGGGATCTCAATGCCGATTCCTGTGCTGGGTCTCAGAGACCACTCCAAGGTCTTCAAAGATGGCAGCTGTCTGCTGACAGATAACAATTTCGTGCTGGTCGGCTCCTTCGTGGCCTTCTTTATCCCCCTCACCATCATGGTCGTCACCTATTTCCTGACCATCAACGCCCTGCAGAACGAAGCCACCCTCTGCTTGGACCAGCTGGTCCCACGGCCCAAATGGAGCACTACCTTCACCTTGAGCTTCTTTCCACAAACATCTTTGTCCTCCGAGAAACTCCTCAGGCGATCGATAAGCCGTGACGCCACAGGCAGAGGGAGCACCGGCGGGCTGGGTGGTGCCCGCGGAGCATATCTGGCTCTCTCTTTGGGCGCCGCACCATGCAGTCGATCAGCAACGAGCAGAAGGCTTCAAAGGTCCTTGGGGTGGTGTTTTTCTCTTTGTGGTTATGTGGTGCCCGTTTTTCATCACCAATGTGCTGGTGGTGGTGTGTGAACCTGACGTTTGTGACCCGGGAGTCATGGGAGGTCTGCTGAATGTTTTCGTCTGGGTAGGCTACTTGTCCTCTGCAGTCAACCCACTGGTCTACACGTTATTCAATAAGACGTACCGCGCCGCGTTTCTGCGATACGTTCGCTGCCAGTACCAGCCAGAGAAGAAACCTCTTCAGCTTATACTGGTGAACACCATCCCCCCACTGGCTTACAGCTCCACCAGCTACCTTTGGGAGACATCGGGAAGTTAGGAAATGGAGTGGCGCATTGTAGCAGTGGAGCAAAAGAGTTCTCTTCTCCTGGGCAGGAGATGAAAAATCCAGGCAGAACAAAGCCAGGGAGACAAAGACGAGAGCTGTGTGTAAGAAACTGAAACAAAATCTGGTTAAAGGCCAATCCAGTGCAAGCAATTTCAGTTTCCCCCTCTGTGGTTACAGTGTAGGGTCTGAGATTTTAAGTGCCAAAGACAATGTGCCTCAAAGTCAGGGGTTCAGAAATACAGAGGTCACTGAAAAAGCAGAAGAAGCCTTTAAATGCTCAACATTTCCACAACAGTTTCCTCAGATTCACACAGCTTCATCAACAGATCAGGTGAACAAGGTCTGTGATTGCTCCTCAAAATGTTGTAAACAAGCATGTGCATCACAGATCATCATCCCCATCTTCAGGCTCGCTGCTCTTTCAGAATCTTTGTACACTGCCGCAAAAGACAAAATTACTCTTGACAAACATATCAATTAATTTTTTTTCACCAAACAATCTTTGAACGTTATCTTCCAGTCTGAGAGCCAATCAGAGAGATGAAAAGACGGTACCGTCCGTGTGGATGATGTGAAACACAGTTGGGCACATCCCAACAAAACAGTTCTATTTTGTTACAACACTTTGGACAACAAGGGTGAAAAAGTCAGACATTGTTCACATAACTACATTTTCCATGGATGCTCAGCTGCTCTAACCTCAGCTGCCCCTTCATTTTGCCAGCTCCCTGGCATCAGTCATGTGGTGTCTACCTTCTATCATACCTTTGGGTGGATCAGTGGGGATTAGACTGGATTTCCTGCCACCTTATCAGATGATAGTGTTGGGAGGAGGAAGAACCAGGACGAGCCTAAATACACCAGAACTCCAGACACTTGCAGAGGTCAGATGAAGCTGTCAAAAGGGGATGAAAAAAAAACTTCTGCTGCTTCTGTATTTTATGTTGAAAACAACAAAAGGAAGAACATGTCTGAGGCAGACATTCAGTAATTAGAGAGAATCCATAAATGAATCTATATTTGTATTTTGTGCACATTTGTGAATAAATGTATATGACTGTTGAGGTTAAATAGATTTATATGCAAATGAGAGGATGATTACTGAAGCTGACATGGTGCAGGATGAGTACAGCAGAGTAGGAGACATTTGATTGGCAGGAAAAAGTGTATTTAAGTGCAGTTGTATCCACTGTAAAGGTCATAGTTTATATTATGTTCAAGCCAAACTATCCGTGCACACTGGCATTTTTATGATGACATTCCAAAAAAAAAAAATGCTTATATACTATCTAGTGTGTTTTGTTTTTTACTGTTTTTGCTAATATGAGGAGAAGGATGTGAAAGGAGGAAAGTAGCTGGAACAGTGCATGAAGGGAGCTTGCACCATGGATTATTGCCAGGAAATATTTGGAGCGGCGTTTCAGACTCATCTCAGTGCCTGACACTTGCATGGGCTTGGTCTAAAATTGTAAAAAATCACTGTCTGCACTATGAATGCACACACCAACCTTGTCTCACCCTTAACTCATCACATAGTGATGTTTGGTCTGGACCACATGGATTCCGATTTGACACCCTGGATATCCCTTTAATGTTGCTTTTGCAAAGTGCCACCTGGTACGGTTACCCGGAATCCATCAATGTATGGATCAGCAATAATGACCTGAAGGTAAAGTAATCCTGTGGGTTAGTCCATTTAAATCCAACTGAAAATGAAGATAAGAGGTGCACCCACTATTAGAATTAGAGTAGAAGAAGTTCTGACCAAGCATCACTATGTAAGGAGTAAGGAATCAGTTTAAGGTGCCCTGTGGAGTTGTGTTTAAAACAAACACCAGTTATGTTCAGCAGTTCTTACCAAACCCACTCTGTTTATGAGCTTGTTTCAAAGAGGCCAGAATGACACAGTATTACAGAACCCAACTTTTCAGTTAGTGCAGGTCCAATGAGCCTCAGCAGCAGTCACTGTGAGAGCTAAATAATTTCACCTACTGGTTAAAAACCTAGAATATGGGAACTCCCACTGATAGCACGACCATCAGTGTCGTATTACATAGTTATGTATTACTTTACCATGAGCCAAAATCTTTGCAGGTACCTTTAAGTAAGTCACTGTCTTTTAATACTGCACCCAACATCCCACCAAAAGTCACTAACCAAGTGTAAGGAAAGGACAAAAGGAAAGTAAATAAATGGAATTCGCCATGATAAGGTGGGGCCAGGTTTCACTATGAGCTCACCCGAAACCCTGACTGATTAGGACCCACACCCAGTTTCACACCTTGGCTCAGGCGATTAGAGGATCATCAGGGGGTCCTTTTGTCCCTCTGCGGGGGATACTCCCACTAGGTTAAATCTGGGACTCTCCACCATTTGACCTTAGAACTGAAGAAGCTTCTCGGATGTGAAGTGAAACGTCTTCAAGCAACTTAAAGAAGTCCAGACGCTTTTCTTTGCAAGCTCCATTGACTAAATAAATGGTGTTGCATATTTATGCAGTTAAAACACACACCTACTCAACAATTTAAATTAGACTAGATGAAACAGATGGCATCGTCATGGCAAAGATTCAATGAATAATGAGAGCAAAAGAATGCACCTTTTTAACACATTGCTGTTTCAGTGGTTTTATACACTGAGAGGATGTTGAAAAAACAGCTGTTTAACAAAAATTAAGTCCTTGGAGTTGAGAAGTCATCATCAAAGTAATGAATCAGTTGCAGTTTAACATGTCAGGTGTTTGTGGACACCTATCTATGCCTCATATGAAAAGCATTATTTTAACCCCTTTGTGGAGCAGATCTTCTGCATCAGACAGCTTCTCTGGTTCTGCTCTGCATTGTGACTAAACAGCCAGTGATTTTTAAAGTGTTAGAAAACCATCAATACCTGCTCATATGAAAACAGCATCATTATACTCAGTGGTTGAAATTTAATTTTAAAGATTACTAAATCTCTATAAAGACAGAGGATATTGAATTTTTTAGAAGCCCCTGCACAGATGTACAATTCACTTCGTTGTAATAAAATGAAATATGGTGTTGGATGATGTTTTTCTGTGGTACAAAGCCACAGTGAAACAATAAATTTGTTATTAGGCTAAACATGCTCAGCGTTGTGGGACCTGTATGAGACATTGATGTTATCAGCATTCATAAGCAACAACTTTTTTCCTTGTAGACAAATTGTTGAGACCAATCAAATAACAGGAGATGCTGCAGAACAGGGTTAACAAGAGTGCTGGAAAGCAAAGGCAACCCGAAGCAGAGGTGGGAGTAAAAGCTGAATGTATCTGAACTTATTAAAGTTTAATATTAATAGTTCCTCCAAATATTAGCTTGGCTTTTGTAAGTGGACTGTAATAGAAAGTTACAAAATGGTATTGGCTTGTAATTTTACAAGCTAATACGTTTTGTTTGTTGGTTGGTTCATTTAAATTTTCTTCTCTAAGTCATTCCATTCTGAAGAACTGGCAATATCATACTGATGTAGAATTCTTCACATCCACCAAGAAAGTTAAAGGGAGCTCAGAGAAAGAAAAAAGGTTAAAGATGTGATAGCTGTTGCTCTACATATCACACAGAGTGACTGTCAGGTCTGCTGTTTGAAAGAGGGAAATGATTTTTCTACTAAAGGATGTAGCCGGGTTAGTTACTGTTTGCCTCACCTGTTTTTCCAACAGCAGATGTAAGAGAACCGATAAAGATTTAGGATCAGAGCAGCGAGGCTGCTTGTAAACAACAGTAATGAAATAAGAGAAGTATGAGCTCTGGAACTGTCAGTTTTGGGCCCCGTGGGAGAGAATAGCTAAGTGGCTAATTAAGCCAACAATAATACAGAAACAATGAATTCCTGACTAAATTCAGTTTGTTTTAAACCCAGGTCTTAATTTAAATTGTTTTGTGGATTCTATCCCAATCATTGTGAAATTATGTTTTCTTTTTATTTGCTAAGGTTAGAGTGCAAAATCAACTGTAGGTACTCAGATGTTAATTATGGTTTAAAAAAGAAAGGTTGGGTAATAATTTCAATATTTTCTTTTCTTTTCTTTTGTTTTGGTGAAAACCTGTTTTAACAAGGTTTAATGTAATTTTAATTTGGAAAGACTTGGTAGTATTTTACAAAATTATGTCCCTCCTACAGTATCTCTAACTAGGTTATGTTTAGCAGGTTTGGTTGATGATTTAGGCACAAGAAACGAAGCAGAGGTGTAGTAAGGCTAGAGCCACTGACTAAGTAACTTTTCTCTTTGTTCCATTTTAATTTCATGTGAAGGAATAATTTTGTATTCTGTTGTATTTCATTGTTTTATACATGCAACACGTATCGTCCATCTCTCTCTATACACAGAGTTGATGGGTAGGTGGAATATAACAGTCATTTATTTTATCAGGCCAAATAAAAAAAATGGATTTAATTTTGTGATAATAGTTATTAAAGTTTTCTCTGCGTACTTATTTGGTCAGATTGATCAGGCTGCTGTTGGACTATGTTGTGATCATTCACTTTGCAAAAATCCTCATAAAGTTTTAGGAATTTTGGACAAAAGTATCAAAAATAAAAGCCAGGATATATATAAAGAGAATTTTCCTAAAATGCCAAAGTTTTCAGAATCAACTGTCTTTGTATTTTTTGTAAGTGCAGCCATGGTGTGTAAAGGACTCTGTGGTTTGACCATATTGTTTGCCTGTTGTGTTACACATTGTGGTAGCACTCCTGGTTTTGACTTTTTTCAAATCTGGAGTCACTAAAGTAGCTGCTGTCTGTGTAATTCTGTTACTGTTGCAGTGATGTAAAGACCATCGACAAACTTATGCAGACAAACCTGGATCCAGATGTAACTCTGATTTTGAGACGTTTTTATGTTTTATAAACTAGTGTCAGTTTTGGAATTCGATGTTTGACGGTAACAATCACATTTCTTTAATATGTCAACTGTATGGATCTATTTTGTTTGTTTGCTCTTGTTTTTAATTCAAAGTAAAGAGAAT